CCCCCGCTGCCGCCGCTGGGGACAGAGCCCTCCCTCCTCCTCCTCCTCCTCCCCTCCCTCGGCTCGGGCAGCCATCTTCTCCTCCTCGGCTTCCTGCCGCGCCTGCCCACACCTCCCGGCATTCCCCGCGCCGCCGCCGCGCTGCCTGCGGAGCCCTGGCCGGGCCGCCATCCCCCTGCTCCCACAGCCCCAGCGCTCACCTCCTCACGCATCTTCTTCACGGACTCCCCTTTCTGTGAGGGACGAGAGAAGGGAGAGAGGCGTCAGCGCGGCTGTGCGGAGGGACGGGTGGGGGGGAACGAGGGGAGAAGGGGAAAGGGAGAGCTAGGCGAGTTTGTTCCTCACTTACCTTCCCAATGATGCTTCCCACCTCCTGGGATGGAAACAAAAGCACCATTAGTCAGCGTTTTAAAAACTCCTGGAGCCCCAAGCCTAAAAACTCAGCTGTTTTCACAGTCAAAACAAGCTCCTGAGCACTTGAGACCTGGCCCTCAGATTACTGAGGTTTATCCCAGTTGTGCTGCTCTTACTCCCACCTTGGCACCCATCAGGTCATTCCCCTGCCACCCCATAATTATTTTCTTCGCTGGCTGCACCCCAGGATCTGCCTGGGCACCAACAGCACGTTCCCAACCCCATGGCAGCGCCAGGAGATCCCACGGCCACGGAAACACGCAGCCCACCCCGTGTGAGGCCAGGGCTCTGCACGGCAGGCTGGACACGAACCTTTCCGTGCATGAGTAGCCGGATGGTGAGTGTGACATTGAGACCCCCTTCGATGACTCCGGTGTCCATGGTGGTCAGTGCGGGGTCGGCTCAGGCTGTGGCAGCGCTCGGGCCTCGGCTGGGGGGAGAGGGGCTGGGTGAGTGAACTTGAGGGGCTGTGCCAATCCCCCCCTGGCCCATCCAGGCAGGATTCCAGCCTCCCTGTGCCGCTGCTCCCCCTGCAAGTGTTGGGCTGATCCACGGCTGGTCTGGCTCCTCCTCTGAATTTCCTGGGCTGAATTCGCCCCATCCCAACCTGGATCCAGCAACTCTTGGGGTTACGGGGGTCCCACTCAGCCCCTGCCTCCTCCCAGCCCAGTTCTTTGCAGGGGCTTCCCTGAGGGACAGCTGAATGCTTTAGGGTGACCCCCAGTAGCACAGGGGACACGAAGGGCTGCTGGACACAACCGAGGATCCCGAGAAGACACTGAGGACTAATAGTGGTCCCTATAGGTCCAGGGAAGCTGCCGCTCTCTGTGAGCCCCACACTTTCCACTGCCCAAGTTTTCCTGCGGCTGCCCGATGGGAGCAGGTGCCCCAGTCCTGGAGGTTTGGCCCGCTGGGAAACCGGGATTACGCAGAAAATAAACCCTATCCACTTCCCCGAGCCCTGAGCCTGCGCGGGGCCTCTCGGAGCAGGTTCCGAGGCGATTCCCTCAGACCCAGATAAGGCCACATGAGCGCACGATCAGGTTTCAAACCACCTGAGTCGGGCAGTGGTTGCAAAACAGCCCGGCTGGCCTCAGCCGAGCGTTTCATGGGAATCCGGTAAATAAACTCCCACTTCGGCCACCGCTTCTGCCCCATCAAAGTTTAACCACGGCCGGGGCAGGGCCCGGCTGCGCTGCCTCGCTGGCACCGGAGGGTTGTGCCGCGGCCTCCACG